CAGGGATATGGGCATTAGATGTTTAGCAGTTCATGATTAGAGCAAGTGGGAGATTGTTGGTTTAGTGCTCTATGATGTACTGATTATGAGCTTTGTTCAGATACATATAAATCATGTCTATTTGAGTTACAGTTGATCAGATTATCCAACGATTGCGTAATCGGACCTCGAAAACGGAAATTTTCGGAATCTGGACCTCGGACCGTCCGTTCCAGGTGTGGAACGGACGGACCAGCCTTGGAGAACAGACGGAACGGACGGTCTCTAACCCAGAACGGACGGTCTAGGGTTCTTGAACGTGATCAGATCACGTTCTACCGTGTTCTCGGCCCCGATCAGACCCGAAACTGATCCGAATTCTCCTGTGAACCCAAAATTCGAACTCCTGCACTCTATGCAACATGAAACATGCAATCTACACTAGATTCAATCATCAAACATGGATTCAAACAATTCAAATCCTAAAACATGCGTGATCGGGTTCTACGAAATCAAAACAGAGCAACCAGGCTCTGATACCACTGTTGGGTTTCCTGGGATCTCATGAACGAATCTGATTCCTAAGAGATCGATTCTAGGGTTGTGCAGCGGAAGTAAAACAAAAATTTTATAAAACCCTAGAACCATGCTGCTATTGAAAACGTAGAAACGTTAGAACGCTTACCTCAATCGATCCGGGGCCTGTATCAACTGAAGAATTCGTCCGATCACTTAGGGAGGAAGATTACCTCGCCCTCTACACGTATCCACACCTCGGGATGGATTCCAACGATTGGAACTTGTCTGCTAGGACTCGAATCTCTATTCGGTTTTTCGCACTTCGAGAAAAACGAGACTTAGAACTTGTTGAGCTTTTTGGATCTCACCAAAAACTCTCCAAGAACACCATGACTACCTATCTCGAATAGAGTTGGGTATACAAGTCATAGGCGGTCTCTAGCAAGTCATAGGCGAAAAACCGAATAGAGTTGGTTCTCTAGCAAGACACTATGACTACCTATCTAGCAAGACACTATGACTACCTATCTCGAATAGAGTTGGTTCGTGATCTTACGAACACCAGTGATGATTCCGGCTGATGATCCTTTTGTATCGCGATATCATACGTCGAACATAAGGCATGGACAAGCCACCTTATCTGATTCGACTGCTTTCTCGTTCACTGAGTTCGACTGTCTGAAATAGACGACGTTCGTCTATAGTGCGGCCACACATTTCTACAGTCTCGCTCACACGAGGGGCCCAGCGATATCTCTCTCTTTTACGAGAGGTACAAATCCCGTCTTGACTATCTACAATCCAGTACATGATTCGTTTCGTACCTGATACACGCCTTTATAGTCCTCCTGTTACGCAGGACGTTTGACGTAATCAAAGCACGCAACTCCTCATGTTGGATTCCGTAGATATCTCAGGTCTTAGGATCCAATCATGGAACCGTCATATGAGATTCAAGTCATGACGCTAGTCCATGTGACAATCTCATGCGGGTCAATCCAGTATTCCATTCTCCAACGAATACCTATGATCGTGATCGTATCCAATACCTATGATCATCTATGTGATCATCAATCACACATCATACTAGTCTTATTATGTCGATATTCCCATAACGACATAAGACTAGGGAGTTTAGTATCATTCATAATGATACATGGATTTCATAACAGATCTAGCATGCAAGAACATGTAATGAATAAAATACTCTCATAAAAACACATAGAAAGTATCAATACATCGAATGTATCTGAACAAAGCTCATAATCAGTACATCATAGAGCACTAAACCAACAAAAACCACATCTCCACCTCATCAGCCATCTCCATCACATGATCCACCACAAATGTCATCACAACCTATGATCAACGTCCCCTCATCCTCATCTTTACAACCCATGCCACCTTCTACGTCCTCAACAACTCATCCAATGGTCACCCGAAGCAAAGCCGGAATAACTAAACCAAAACACGTCCTTTCTCTTTTAGTTGAACCACCCTCTCCTTTACCAAAGTCTCACCTTCATGCTCTAAAGAACCATCACTGGCGTAATGCTATGTTTGACGAGTATAATGCTCTTATTAAAAATGGGACGTGGGATTTGGTGCCCCGACCCCTGGGGGCTAATGTGGTTCGTTCTATGTGGCTATTCAAGCATAAATGTAATGCAGATGGATCCCATGCACGCTACAAGGCACGGCTCGTGGCAAACGGCAAGTCTCAACAACCCGGTCTTGATTACGGCGATACGTTTAGTCCGATGGTTAAACCGGCAACTATTCGGGTCGTTCTCAGTCATGCCATCTCTCGTCATTGGCCCGTCCATCAACTCGACGTGAAGAATGCTTTCTTGCACGGGAATCTTCATGAAACCGTATATATGCACCAACCGCCGGGTTTTGTCGATAGTGACAAGCCGGATCATGTTTGCCTCCTGCGTCGATCTCTCTACGGGTTAAAACAGGCCCCACGAGCTTGGTTTCACAGATTTGCTGAGTTTGCTCGTCGGATTGTGTTTACACACAGCAAAACCGACTCCTCCCTCTTTATACTCTGCCAAGGTACGAGCATTGCATTCCTCCTACTTTATGTTGATGACATCATCCTTACAGCATCAAGTTCAACTCTTTTAAACAACATCATCCGTGCCTTAAATGGAGAATTCGCCATGACCGATCTTGGCTCTCTACACTACTTTCTTGGTATACAAGCAACGTGCAACAAAGATGGCATGTTTCTATCTCAAGCACAATATGCGATGGATATTCTTCACCGGGCCAGTATGGAATCATACAATCCTTGCCTGACTCCTGCTGATACGAAGTCCAAACTCGCCGGTGACATTGGAAAACCTGTTGAAGATGCCACTTTATACCGCAGTCTTGCCAGAGCTTTGCAATACTTGACGTTTACTCGCCCCGATTTATCATATGCAGTCCAACAGGTTTGTCTCTTCATGCATGATCCACGCGAACCTCACATGAACGCACTCAAACGCATTCTTCGATACATCTGAGGGACAGCTTCACATGGCCTTCAACTCTACCGTTCTCCCGCGTCGGCTCTCATTGCTTACTCTGATGCCGACTGGGCCGGCTGTCCGGACACGCGACGATCAACATCTGGATATTGTGTCTTCCTTGGTGATAATCTTGTGTCATGGTCGTCCAAACGTCAACACACGGCCTCTCGATCTAGTGCCGAGGCCGAATATCAGGCGGTAACAAATGCAGTTGCTGAAACGTGTTGGCTACGTAATCTGATGCTTGAACTCCACTGTCCCCTCACTCGTTCGACTGTTATCTTCTGTGACAACGTTAGTGCGGTTTATATGTCGGCCAATCTCGTTCAGCATCAACGAACCAAACATATTGAGATTGACATACATTTTGTCCGTGAAAAGGTAGCTCTGGGTCAGGTTCGAGTATTGCATGTTCCGTCATCCGCACAATATGCTGACATCTTTACCAAGGGTCTATCCACCTCTTTGTTCTTGGATTTTCGTTCCAGTCTGAGCATCCATCCGGCAACCGCTCCGACTACGGGGGAGTGATAGAAGATATTATGCATTCATAACATATATTATACAATTATGTCTATATTACTTTATGTGTATTCATTACCATAGTGCTTTGATGTGTATATATGTATACCTAATGATAATGGAAAGATCAAGGGGATTTTACCAAATTACATGATAGAAGATATTATGAATGCATAATATCTTCTATCAATATTTTCATACACGTATTTTTAATTTGATAAAAAACTACATTTTAATTTAAAATTTTTCCAAATATCTATACGAATTATTAAAATTAATAGTAATTACATACATAATTATCATTTTCGTTAAATTTTTTTGGATTATATTAATTAATACGCTGACGTGTATGGTACCTAACTAATGTACTAGTTAACAAAATCCAAAAAAATTTAACGAAATGATGATTGTGTATATAATTACCGTTAATTTTAATAACTCGTGTAGATATTTGGAAAATTTTGAATTCAAGTATAGTTTTTTGTCAAATTAAAAATATGTGTATGAAAAGATCACATTTGATTAATTTTTGTGTATAAAAATATCATTTTCCCAAATGTTTAATAATAATTGTTAATTAAATTTTGTCCGAGTCATTATCCCACCAACAGATTCGATCCCTAAGGATACTCTTTGACTACGAGTGTAATAAATAAAGTTATTAAATAATGTTAACAAGTACTTAATTATCTACTTAATTAACGCTTAATTAGTAACGCTTGGAGGAACGGCTGGGAGTCTCTTTTTTGTTTTTTGGGATAATTCCAAAATTTCTTTTCAATTCGATTCTCTATTCATCTTTTTCTCATTCTCTATTTCTTTTCTAATTTATGATTATCAATTAATAGTTTTTTTATTAGAATATAATGTTAAAGCTTTTTAGTTTTTTCTACTAATGAATTATTTAATATTTTTTTAATTGATTATTTTATACTTTAATTGATACATACGTTTTATAATTTGTTTTAAGTCGTCTCATAATTTTAGCAAGTATATTTTAAACAAAATTTTGTAGTACAAGAAGGATATAAAATATTTTCTCATAAAAAATGCAGATTCAAACCTTTTGTTTAAAATATAGGTCTAAATTCATATAATAACTTGTCAATTAAAAAAGTAACAAAGAAGACCTAGTTTTAATTTAATCGTTAAAAAAAGCCAAAAATAAGCAAAGCATGCAGCGGGTTGAGCCCCACCTTTTTTTAGTCAAAGCAAAAAATCTCCAGAATTCACGTGCCTCTTTATGTAACAAAATTTCTGTTGCATATCCTTCTCAACAATTGCTATAATTACTTAGTATTATTTATTATTATTGTAACGTCAACTTTTCATAATTTCTTCTTGTCTGCATATATGTATTTTTTATATGTTTAAAAAAACTTTCATAACCCTTCTTTTGCTGGAATTCTGTTGCTTTTAAATTTAATTCTTTTCACTTTTTTTTTTTAAAAAAAAAAAATTCCTCGCCAAATATTTCCATGTGTATAACTACACACACATAAACAGTGGAAGATAAAACTGAGGTAAGAAGGAGGAGGAGGAGGAGGAGAAAGAGTGAGGAAATGGGAAGGTTCTTCTTCTTCTTCTGGTTCATGGTGGTGGCGGTGGTGATGAAGGTGGGTTTCACAGAGGCATACCCAGAAGAAGATCTGGTGGTGAAATTGCCCGGACAACCTGACGTCGAGTTCAGACAATTCGCTGGCTATGTCGATGTCGATTTCAAATCTGGTCGGAGCCTTTTCTATTACTTCGTTGAGGCTGAGAAAAATCCCCTCGACAAACCCTTAACCCTTTGGCTCAATGGAGGTCTGTTCTCTCTCTTTTTGTTTCTGCCATTGTCTCTGTCTCTTGTTGTTCTTACTGTTTGATTGAATTCTTCGACTCGGAGTGTCGTTTCTTGGGGTCAATGCTTTTGCCCTTCTGGGTATTACGGTGCTTTTGCTTGTTTACGCTAATTCTGTGGCTTTTTTGGCATCTGGGTGTTGAATTTTTTTTTATCTTTTCGAATAAATGTGAAGCTTTTGTTTTTGTTCGGGGGTGAATCACGTGAATTCTGCAGTTTCTGGCTTTCTGAGACAGTTCCTTCCTTCACGGTCTCGTGACATTGTCTGAATGTTTTGGTTTGATTCCTTATCCATTTCAAAGCTCCAAACACTGAACTATGAGTCTTTGAGAACATGAAAAAAATCAAAATTCACATGCTTCAATCTTTTTGGGTCAATGCAGGACCAGGTTGTTCATCAATTGGCGGAGGAGCATTTACAGAATTGGGTCCATTTTACCCCACAGGGGATGGTCGTGGACTTCGCGTGAATCCCATGTCATGGAACAAAGGTACTTGTTCTTGATGTAAATACATATATATGTATGTATGTATCTTCAGATTCTTGGGTGATAAATCTGTAAAATCTTGAAGACCACTTGTTCTAATTAGCCAAAAAACTTGCAGTGATCCTATGTTTCGGGTGTAAACTTCTCATCTGCTTTTGATTGTGTTCTGTTTCTGCCATTTTCTGTTTGTAATGTAGCCTCGAATTTGTTGTTTGTGGAGTCACCGGCCGGAGTTGGATGGTCCTACTCGAACAGAACCTCCGATTACAATACCGGCGACGCCTCTACCGGTAATCTTTACATCGATTTCAGTGACAAATTGTGTGAATATAATCTTCTCTCTGCATCATTTTTTTTATACCAAGTCACCTCAGGTTCTTGAATTTTTGAAACAGCGAAGGATATGCTTGTGTTCTTGTTGAGATGGTTCAAGAAGTTCCCCGAGTTTAAATCCCGCGATCTCTTTCTCACCGGAGAAAGCTACGCCGGTATGTGATCATCGATATAAAAACACGGATATTTCGGCGCAAAATTTTGATTCTTGGAACGTAAAATGGATCCAAATCGTATCTTCGTCAGGGCATTATATTCCTCAGCTGGCTGATGTGATACTGAACTATAACGCACGTTCATCGGGTTTCAAGTTCAATGTCAAAGGCATTGCAGTAAGCCGAGAAGCCAAGAATTCTCTCCATTTGATCCAAATTTTGTTTCTTCTCCGAGTTATGATTATTATTCATTGTTTTTTTTGGGTTTTGATCAGATCGGGAATCCGCTTCTAAAGCTGGACAGAGACGTTCCAGCGACATACGAGTTCTTCTGGTCACACGGGATGATCTCTGATGAACTCGGCCTCACTATAACGGCCCAATGTAACTTTGAAGACTACACGTTCTCCAGCCCGCATAACGAGAGCAAGGCCTGCGATGACGCTCTAGGCGAAGTTGGAAGCATTGTCTCTGAATATGTCAACTATTACGACGTTATCCTCGATGTCTGCTACCCGTCTATCGTTGAGCAAGAGCTTAGGCTCAAGAAAATGGTAAAAGCCTCACCCTTGATCATTTTCAGTCAGCGTTTCCGCCTTCTTCAAGTGTTTTAGAATCTGAAACGATGTATCATCAGATCGAGAAATTGCTTTTATTTTTCATTATCAGGCTACTAAGATGAGTTTGGGAGTCGACGTGTGTATGACCTACGAAAGACAGTTCTATTTCAATCTTCCGGAGGTTCAAAAGGCTCTTCACGCTAACCGAACTCTTCTGCCTTACCAATGGTCCATGTGCAGCAGGTAAATTCGATCCATTTCAGTTGCAGAAAATGACTGAAACTCCGAACCCGTGTCACAGAAATTTATGTAACCGATCTTCTGAAGTTTATCACTTCCGGCAACGTAACTGTTTGATCTTTCTGAAGTGTTACTGAAGTCTTGAGGTTTTGTCTTGACTTGTTCAGGGCATAATGCTTGGTTTCTCCTGTTTCATCTGTGTATTCTGTTACTGAATTCAGTCGTTTTGTCATGTCTCTGTTTCAGCCAGTTGAATTACAGCGATACCGACGGGAATCTCGACATGCTACCGATACTAAAGAGGATCGTACAGAACAAAATCTATGTTTGGATCTTCAGGTAAGTCTCCTCTCTTCTTCTTCTTCTTCTACTTCGGAGTTCGTCTTCCTAAGCCTAAACCGCCGGTTTCTTCATATTACAGCGGAGATCAAGATTCTGTAGTTCCGCTACTTGGTTCAAGAACTCTTGTACGGGAACTGGCCCAGGAGCTCGACTTCAAGAACACAGTTCCTTATGGAGCTTGGTTTCACAAAGGCCAGGTACCGAAAATTTACCCTTATAGCCCAAGAATGATAAAAACCCGGGAATTGGATCTTCCTTTTTATGCAAATTTCTTCACAAAGTTTCGAACTTTACGATCCGGGCGAGGAATAGGTCGGCGGATGGGTGACGGAATACGGAAATCTACTGACGTTCGCGACGGTGAGAGGCGCTGCCCATATGGTTCCTTACGCGCAGCCTTCACGAGCTCTGCACTTGTTCAGCAGCTTTGTCAGTGGCCAGCGTTTGCCGAACACAACTCGTCCCTCCATTGATGATTGACGAAGGAGAGGAAAAAAAAACTTCTTCTGAGGTTGTCTGTTCATTACGCCAGAGGCATTGTAGGAAGTGTTGTTATGTGTCTGGTTTTTCTCTCTCTGGTGTTTTTTCTTAGTGGTTTCTTGGGTTGGAAGCAATTGATCATTTAGATGAATGGAATTAAAGGGGAAAAAGGGAAGATTAGGGTTTCTGGTTTGGTTGGTCGTTTAATTGCCATTTTCATTTGATTGATCTTCAATAATAATATAAAAAATGAAAGGGTTTTGTGTGATTTTTTAATATGATTACCCACTTATCTTGAATTTTTTTTATTAGGAATGTTCGGCTATATAATTTCGAAATTAAAACAACACAATTTTAATGGAATAATGGTAATGAGATTCATTCTTCTATTGAAACCAACTTGTCTTATTTAAATATGAAAACAATCGTAAATTTTCTATGTAAAGAACAATGCATTTTATTTTCTGTTTTATTTAATCATATAAATTTCAAGTTCTTAATGAATTTATATAGATAAATATGTATTAATGATATATATGCATAAATACCTAATAAAAATTAAAAAATAGTATTTAAATACCTAAACTTTTACAAAAATTTTAAATAAATATCTAAAATATAAAACTTTTATATAAATATCTGATTTTTTTAAAATTTTTAAAAAAATACCTAAATTTTTGAAAATTTCTTAAATAAATCCAAAATCTGTTAATGACATTGGTTATTTTTATTTTAGAAATATTTGATTTATTTATGAAAATTTCAAAAATCTAGATATTTATATAGGTTTTTAAAAAGGATAAGTATTTATATTGATATTTTATAATTTAGATATTTATTTGGGATTTTTATAAAAATTTAGATATTTATATGTAATTTTCTTTTTTAAATGATTTTTTTATCTCTAAACAAATCAATAATTTTATTTTATTTTATTTTTATGATATTATTAGTATTAATTTATCAATAATAATATTGGCGTCTACGCTTACACACAGTAAGGTCAACTTTTTTTGAAATGATACAAAAAAAGATACCTTCATAATGCAAGTAAATGAGTGAAGCACGCTTTACGAAGATATCAAACTAAGACTTTTCTACGCAAAAGAAAAAGCTTACACAAAATACGGTTAGAATCGCCGCCACCACTAATTTTCTCAGTGATCAAGGATTCAAGAAGGGAAGATGAAGTGAAGAACCTTAACTAAGGAGCACTCTCCTTTGAATTCAGTCTGGTGCAAAAGGGGGTCGGGTTTTCTCAGTCGGGTCGACCCGGATTCAAACGGTTGGAAGAGTTGACTATTTGGCGCCAAAACAAGACACTCTGTGTAGTTCTTCGAATTGGGCGAAGCTGGCGAGGTTAGATGCCTTTAGTTTCTCATGAATAAGAGGATACGAATTCCCAATTCTCGCGCGGGCAAGATTCATCTGTTCTCGGGTCGCAGCCGGATCCATGTATTTTTCTCGATGTCTCTTCAGACCATCGACGCCCAAGATCGATTCTTTCTCCTTGATCCATCGTCTGAGCTTTGTTTCGGATTTGGCTCGTCGGAACCTGAGCTATGGACATGTTTTACCCAGACAAGATCATGTGTATGGTCGTCTACTGGAGAATTGTCTGAAACAATGCGGAAAGGTGAAGAGTCGCAAGGTGTTCGATGAAATGCCTCACAGACTTGAACAGGCCTTGAGAACTGGAAAAGCTGTGCATGCCCAGAGCTTGATACTTGGGTTCGGTTCGAAGGGTATGTTAGGCAATGCCATTTTGGATTTGTATGCCAAATGTGGGGAAGTGGGCTCTGCTGAGAAAGCTTTTGAATTACTTGAAAAGGATATAACAGCGTGGAACTCGATTCTGTCAATGTATTCCAGGATTGGGCAATCGGGGCGGGTTTTGAAGAGTTTCGTGTCGTTGCTTGATATCCAGGTTTCACCGAATGTATTCACTTTTTCGATTCTTTTATCGTCCTGTTCCAAGGAGATGGATGTACAGTTCGGCAGACAAACTCATTGCAGCATGGTAAAGATGGGACTTGAATCCTGTTCATATTGTGGAGGTGCTCTGGTTGATATGTACGCCAAATGTGAGGTTTTAAGTGATGCTCAACGGGCGTTTGATGAGTTAGTGGACCCTAATACGGTTTCCTGGACATGTTTGTTTTCTGGCTATGTCAAGGCAGGTTTACCCAAGGAAGCCGTGAGCGTATATGAAAACATACGGGATATAGGCCATAGACCCGACCGTTTAGCTTCCGTTACTGTCATGAATACGTATGTCAGCCTGGGAAGACTGGATGATTCACGTCAATTGTTTGCTGAGATGCCGAGCCCAGATGTAGTAGCATGGAATGTGATGATTTCAGGGCACAGCAAAAGAGGATATGAGGCGGAGGCTATCAAATACTTCCGTGACATGCGAAAATCTGGTGTTAAATCTTCACGTTCTACATTAGCAAGTGTTTTGAGTGCCATTGCAAATATGGGGAATCTTGATTTTGGTTTGGTAGTTCATGCTGAGGCTATTAAACAAGGCCTTGCTCCCAGTGTTTATGTAGGCAGTTCATTGGTCAGCATGTACACAAAATGTGGGAAAATGGAGGCTGCAGAGAAAGTATTTGATGAATTGGAAGAGAAAAATGATGTCTTGTGGAATTCAATGTTGAGGGGTTATGCACATAATGGTAACACTCACAAAGTCATGGAACTTTTCATGGATATGAAATGCTCAGGTTTTGACCTTGATGATTATACTTTTACAAGCATCTTGAGCGCCTGTGCTTCATTGCAAGATCCAAAACCAGGCAAGCAGTTTCACTCAATTATTATCAAGAAGATGTTAGCGACAAATCTATTCGTCGGAAATGCATTAGTTGATATGTATGCAAAATGCGGTGCTCTAGAAGATGCAAGGCAACTTTTTGAACGAATGTGTGATCGAGACAATGTTTCCTGGAATGCAATAATCAGTGGCTATGTCCAAGAAGAAGATGAGATTGAGGCTTTCAACTTGTTCAAGAGGATGAACTTGTGGGGTATGTTGCCTGATGAGCCATGTTTGGTCAGCATGCTAAACGCGTGTGCAAATATTCAAGGTCTTCACCAGGGAAAACAAGTTCACGGTATCTCTGTCAAATGTGGTTTAGAAACTGGCCTTTATACGGTTAGCTCGCTCATAGACATGTATGCCAAGTGCGGGATCATAGAAGATGCACGTAGAGTTCTCTATTCTGTGCCTGAGTGGAGCGTGGTGGCCGTGAATGCTCTGATCGGCGGTTATTCTCAGAACAACTTAGAAAAAGCTGTAATTCTGTTCCAAGAGATGCTAGCTAGAAGTTTTGACCCATCGGAAATAACTTTTGCTGCGCTTCTTGATGCTTGTCATGAACCGAAAAGTCTGATGGTGGGAACACAAATCCATGGTCAAATAATAAAGAGGGGTATTTTGTATGATGAAGAATACCTTGGCATTTCTCTACTGGGTTTGTACATGAACTCGCACAGAATGAGAGAGGCATGTGCTCTCTTCTCGGAGTTCTCAAGTCCTAGGAGTCCTGTGCTATGGACCGGGATGATTTCAGGGTATAGTCAGAATGGTTTCCACGAGGAGGCTTTGCAGTTGTACAAAGAAATGCATCGTAATGGTGCTTTATCCGACCAGGCAACATATGTCAGTGTTCTTCATGTGTGTTCCGCTCTATCATCTCTAAGAGAAGGTAGAGCCATTCATTCTCTTGTCATCCGCTCAGCTTATGACCTGGATGAATTGACCTCTAACTCCCTCATTGATATGTATGCTAAATGCGGGGATGTGAAAAGTTCAACACAGGTCTTCACTGAAATGAGGCGCAAAAACAGCGTTGTCTCCTGGAACTCCATAATTAATGGACTTGCAAAAAATGGTTATGCAGATGATGCCCTTAAAATTTTTTATGTGATGAGGCGAGCCCGTATTATGCCCGATGATGTCACATTCTTAGGTGTTCTCACAGCATGCAGCCATGCAGGGAAAGTGTCTGAAGGGCGGGAGATTTTCGAGATGATGGTTAGTCAATATGGTATTAAGCCTTGTGTAGATCATTCTGCTTGTATGGTTGATCTACTCGGAAGATGGGGTTATCTTCGAGAAGCCAGTGAGCTCATAAAAGAGACTGAAAACCTGAAACCAGATGCAAGATTATGGGCATCCCTTCTTGGTGCTTGCACAATTCATGGAGACGACAATAGAGGGAAAATGGCTGCTGAAAAGCTCATAGAGCTGGAACCAGATAACTCGGCGGCCTATGTACTTCTTTCGAACATATACGCATCGCAGGGACGCTGGGAAAAGGTCAATGCTTTGAGGAAAGCCATGAGAGACAGTGGAGTGAAGAAATCACCTGGGTGTAGCTGGATTGATGTCACACAAAAAACACACGTTTTTGTTGCAGGAGACAAATCTCATCCCGATACAGTCAAGATCGAGACAGTTCTAAAAGGCATTGATGAACTGATGAGAGATGACTCCATTGTTAATCATGATATGGTGGAATCTACTTCTCATCTGGTCTATGTGTAACACTAAAGTAGCCATATACAAAGTTCATATACAAAGGTCTGAACTTGGATGTGAATTTTTTTTTTCTCCTAGCCATATTAGTTTCTCTAAATTGTTTTTGTTTTCATTTCTTATGTTGCAGGGCATGATTGGAACGCCGAGGGCTACTGCATCTGCGTTCGGCTGTAAATATTTACAATTGCTGAGTTCGAATACCAATCCGAGTTCAAGGATAAAAGATAAGATGCCCTTGTTACCCAAACCAACTCAATACAATGCTCCTATTTTCTTCTAAATTCCAACCACACCCACCACCGACCAGAAAAACTGTCATCATCCATGAAAAAAAAAAACATTCTCAGGTCGTTTGTGCTGCCATTCTTCACCATCTTCCGGCCGTAACCACCCTCCGGTACCTTCTCAACATTAGGTCAGTTTCCTATGAACTTTTCTCGAATTATTTTTTGTGTTGATCTGTCCTCAGACTTCAGTACAGTAGAAGTTGATGATTTATATGAGGTTTTTTCCCCTATTATTATATCAGAATATAGTTGGTAACCAAAAGGATGCAGAGTTTAGTGAAATTACATGATATGGATTAAAGAGCCTTGAGGCTTCTTTAGTTGGCTTTTGGTTGCAGATTATGCTCTTGTGTATCTCATTGATCTTTTAGTGGTGAGATCATCTCATGGGTTTTTCAAAGTTTTTTTTGGTGGAATTTCCTTTGAACAAGTTTGTGTTTTTGGGTTTAGAAAATTAGTTTAGTTTTTTTTTCCCTCATTTGAGTACAGTTATTAGAGTAATGTTATCCCTCCTAATAATCTTTTATAGACATTTATTTTAATCTCTTTAACCTTTTCTCTGAAATTTTCATTTTAGTATTCCTGATTTACCTCCAATCTTAAAACACTAAAGATTAAACCCTAAACCTTAAACACCCAATCTTAATATCTAAATCCTAAATCCTGATCCAATCCTAAATCCTAAACCATAAACTATATCTAAACCTTTTTTCCTAAACCCTGGGTTTTAGTTAGGATTTTGGGTTTAGAGTTTAGGTAACTTAGGAATAGTAAAATGGGGAAAAAAAAGAGAATTGAATTAATTGCTGAGTGAGTATGAGGATTTTTAGGAAGAAGTTTAAGGAGGACATGAGATTAATCAATGATTAATGTTCGTGTGATGATTTTTTTTTTTGGTAAAGTTTATGCCAGTATAGGTTCGAACCGAAGATAGAGCACTTTTTGTATATACCCATTTACCAACTCTGTTAGCCACGCCTGACTTCGTGTGATGATTTTCTGTTTCATTGCAAGGACAAAGACAAATAAAGAGGAAAGAGGAGAGACATTTTTTGTTGTCACATTGTAATATATGTGATGAAGTAAGCCTCTTTGTATATTTTAGAAAAAATTTGGAAGCATATATTTTTTTTTATAATTCGGAAGTTCATCATGTTTTCGATCTAATTATATCTTCTACAGGAGATCGGAGAAACCCAGATGAATATCCCGGTTCCAATTGAGACTCGAACTTGGAGTAGAAGCATATTAGATTGTAAGATGGATGATGAAAATGAGTTGTTGGATATAAGTACGGTCCACAATATTTTTGGTTTGTTTGTCAAAAACATAATATTTTCTTGGATATATAAGTGATGAATATTAATTATGATATTATTATGATCGTGGAAATAGACGATGATTATTACACCATAGATTGTTAGATTTCCATCGGTTCTGACACTGAACGAACAAGGCATAACATATGTTTCGTACTGCTATTATATGCTTTAATGCGTAAAATTTCTAGGGGCATATGTACTTGTCTTTTTTAATTTAAATTTGTACGTTGACAATACTAAATCTGGGAATATTTATTTTATATTCAATTTCTAGATAACAGAAAAGAGAACGAACGATTTCTACTTCAGGAACAATTATAAATAAATAAAAGAAATTGATCATTCTTCATTTGAATTCTTTATTCAATTTAAAAGTGAACAAAATTATCTAATTTCTGAATATTTTAAATAATTTATAGTTTTCATATTCAAGATCACAATTGATCGAATCCAGATTTTATCTTAAATTTGTTACAAAATCAAAATTATAAAATTTAAGACCTAATATTTTTTAAAATTTATAAACCATCATTAGTTTTAACCAAATTAAATCCCAACGAAATAAAAGATGGACGGCGCAGAGGGAAGGGTGCACAGGAGCTCACGTGCGGGTTGCTGCAGAGAAACGCAGCTGGTGAGACTGAGGGCTAATAAGATGTAGCCACGTCACATCTGGAGCGGATATTGGACAAGCGGGTCTAAATAATATGCTGTGAAAAAAAGGAAAATAAAAATTAAACATAAAAAATGGAAACAAACGGTTCATTTTTCCTTTTCTTTCTTTACATCAAAGCACCAAAATAAAAAGAAAAAAAAAAAGGAAAGATATTATGAGAAAACGAGACTGTTGCTTCACGCCCAAGAAACCCTAAAATCTCCCGCCGTCTTTCTTCGTAGCTCCGTCTCGGCTCTTCACCGCCGGTCCGACAACCGGTTTAAGCTCAACTGGAATGAAGAATCTTTCCCAGTCCTCACCACCGGTTCTCCAGCCTAAACCGGGATTTGGTCTTGAACCGGCACGGTTAACCTCCTCGGGAAGAAACCGAACCGTCAACGTCAACGAGACAACTCCTTTAAACCCATTATGAATTGAATTCACGACCTCACAGGCGTAGAGAATAAGGTCAATCATCATGTATTGAGCATCGAATCCTTCGATCCCGGAATCAATCAAGAAGTAGGAAAGCTCCTCTTTCCCGGGCGATTCGTCGTCTTCATAGATGAATTCGTCGGGAGAGAAGGAACGCTCCAAGGAAAGAGGCGAACCCGTAAACCCGGGTTGAAAAACCTCAGCTCTGACGTCGATGGTGAAATCGTCGGCTTCCAAGTTTTGCTCTATACGATGGCTCAGAGAGGGCACCGCACTGTAATAAGTGTCCATGACTGCTGTGCTGAACTGGTGAAAGTGATTTTCTGCTCTGAATCGATGAAGTGAGGACAGAAGCTAAGGTTTAGATCGGTATTTATAAGGGCTTAGGGTTTAGATCCGTTGTTTCCTTTTCTCTCAAGGAAGTGGAATATTTGTGGAGTTTCCATTTCTTTTTATGCAATGTATTGTAGTTTTCCATTTGTTTTAATCACCCAAAAACCTGAAGTTAAATCGGATTTAATTTAATAATAAATTAAATAAGAGTTTAGGGTTTCTCATGATCATAATTAAAACAGAACATACACAAATACGACAGCTCAGGAACAGGAAGCTCTTGAGCTTTTTTTTTTTTGTAATCCTTAATTCACTATAAAAAAAAACCCAAAGATCTGAGAAACCCAGAAACCAGAATCCACAGATTCATCAAAAGATCAGAGAATTCAATCAGCCGTCCATGCGGATGATACACCTCAAGCCCTCTCCTTTCAGCATGAGATCGAAAGCTTTGTTGATCTCTGAGAACGGGACTGTGTGTGTGATGAATTTCTCCAGTTCAAGCTCCTGCAATGACATACATATGTATATAGTAACAATGCATAAACAGAGAAATGTTTTTAAGACAGAAGACAAGAGAGAGTACCTTGTTCATGTACTTCTCCACGACCCCGGGAATGTCAGTTCTTGGTTTGTAGTTCCCAAAGAATGTGCCTTTAAGGGTCCTCTCGTTGAGGAAATTCACCGGATGAGTCTTGAAGGCGTCGTCTTTGTTGGGGACACCCACCAACACCGCAACACCCCATCCCTGAAATCACACACAAAAAAATAAACATTTCAGATAACAGACTTCCGTGGCCTAGGGTTATCAGGTGAATGGTCTTTACGTCGTGGACGCATTCGAATGCGGAGATCATGGCCTGGATGCTTCCGGTGCACTCGATGCTTCGATCAACTCCTCCGTTAGTCATCTCAGCAATCACCTGAAGCGATCGTATAGTGTTTCAGACAAGAGAGGGAAACCGTAAAGGAAGAAACTTTTGTGTCGGAAGAGACACAAACCTGTTGAACAGGTTTGTCATGGTCCTTTGGATTGATAAACTCCGTACAACCGAACTTCTTAGCTGCAAAAACATAAGATTATTACACAACTGAACTGGTCATAATGATTGGTCAGCCCAAGATCTTGAGAAGTAAGTGGTTCTGGTTTTACCTTCTTCGAATCTGTTCGGGTTCAGGTCGACACCGATGATCCTCGAAGCCCCGGAAATCCTCGCACCTTCAGCAGCCTAACGAATATCGAAAACCCAACAGATGTGTATTTCAGCATAAATCAGATCATTGATCAGTTTACTGAAGCTAAAACAAGTTCAAGAAAATTTACTGACAGCGAGGCCAACGGCTCCCAACCCGAAGATGGCGACCGAGTCACCTTTCTTTGGCTTAGCAACATTCAAGGTAGCACCAAGACCTTCCAAGAACAAGAACAAAAGCCATCACATATGCATACAATTTCTCGAAAGGCCGTCACATATACATATAGAGATTATTACAAGACTCACCGGTTGATAATCCGCAGCTGACAACACAGACTTTGTCAAGAGGGGCATTGGGGTTGATCTTGGCAACACAACCAGAGTGAACAACTGTGTATTCACTGAAAGTGGATGTCCCGAGGAAATGGTAGACGGGTTTCCCGTTGATCGAAAACCTCGGTTTCCCGTCGTGGATCATGACTCCTCTCTCGGTATTGATCCTTAGAAGATCGCACATGTTGCTTTCCTCGGACTTGCAATGGCGGCAATCCCCACACTCTCCGGTGAAGATGGGAAGAACATGGTCTCCTGGTTGAAGATCAGTCACACCTTCACCAACGCTCTCCACAATCCTATGTAATACAACAACACACAACCCTTATTACATGAAAACCAGATCCTGGTAGAACAAAGACAACAGATCATTCAAACCCATTTCAGATTATTTGCTTACCCTCCAGCTTCATGCCCAAGAATCCGAGGGAACAACGGTGTCTGTCCCTGTAAACACCAAAAAGGAACAACTTCTGATTCTCTTGAAGCTCGAACTCAAAACAAATTCATCGAAAGGGGAAAGCAGAGTTACCTTAGCTTCCCAGAAGTAGACATCGGTGTGACAAAGAGAAGTGAACAGAATCTTGAGACGAACTTCGTTAGCCTGAGGAGGAGCCACTTCCACCTCCTCCATCACCAGTGGCTTTCCAGCTTCCCACGCCACCGCAGCTTTCATACACAAAATCATTTATTTATATACTTTGGTTTTTAATATGATCGGATGGATAATAACTCAGTGAAATCTCAGACCCAGAAAATAAAAATACCAACTTTCATGTAAAACTCGAATCAAACACAGAGTTTTTCAGTCTTGAAACAAGAAAACAGCATCCCCCAACCCCAAGACCCGGAACACGTACATACACATATGTCTGTATATACAAATGCATATACAGGCATCTACAGGGAGAATCAAAATCGAAGAGAGAAGAAGGAACGCATGAGAAAAGAATCTACCTTTGCAGCGAATAACCTGACCAGCAGTCGACATATCAATCTCTTGTGTTTATGATCAAAATTATGCAGAAATCTCTGTAAGAATGCTTTGAAAGTTGAACACTTTCCCTTGAAGGTGAAGAGAGGGAGAGCAGAAAGGGTCTGAATTTATAGGGAGCCATATAATTTGCGAGAACGCCACACTGCTAAAAGACACTGTGTACTGTTTACCTTACATGGGGCGCTCACAGGGATTTGCCCGAGATGACACGTGTCGAAATCTATTTCGTGTGACGTGGCATAGTTGACCTCTCCCATCTCCGGTCTTCGGTCGATGCATCTGGATTCTGATTTAGATTTTTAATATATGACATGGAAGATTGTTTAATAAAAAATTATTAAAGAAATTAATTAAACAATTATTTTGTATTATTTTTTTTAAAATATATGTCATTATTTTGTCAGTATTCAAATATATTCCGAATATTAAAAAGATAGCATCTATTTAAACTCTAATTATCTATTCTATTACTGTATTTTATTGAATTATTTTATATGGACCATAACCAAAATGAATCGAGGAGAGGAGGAGTGGGCCCCAGCTAAGACTGACTTTTAATTTTTAAACTTGTACTTAATCAATTAAGATCCACATCTTTTTTTCTTTAACTGTAATCATAAGAATAATAATTATTGTCATTACAAAACCAGAAACCGTATGAGAAAACCAAGGAACAAAAATCTGGGAATGGTTTTGGAAAACCACTGTTCCCCAATGCCAATGCCATCAACAAGTGTCAAAATTGTCGTTGACACAAAATGCAAATTGATTGCACTTTCTTCTTTTCTCCTCTAGAAAGCTAACAAATTAAACCAAGGAACTAGTAATTATTTTGGTTTTTCCATCAATTTTTAAAAAAAGAACTTATTTTGAATAAATTTTCATGTCTCGTTCGATTTTTAAATGATTTTATATTCTTTATTTCTAATGTTATATCTTTAAATTAGAAGATATATATTTATTTCTTATTTTAAAACCAATTTCGCTTTTAAGTTTTATATAAAGAGATTATATTTTTGTATAAAATATTTACATAAAATTTGCCTTGTATTCATGTTTCATTAAGAAATAAACAATTGAATTAATTATAAATATTATATTTTGCCATACTTATAGTTAGGGTGGGCGTTTCGGTTCAGTTCTTCGGAACCATACCGAAAAATGGTACTTTTTTCGATCCGAACGGTATTATTTTTAAAGAACCGAATTTTTTCGAAACCGAACCGAACTTTAACAAATCCTGAAAAACCGAATATTTTTAAAGGAAATTTTTTTTAAATAAAAACCGGAACCGAACCAAACTAATACCGAAACCGAACCGAACCGAACACAATATAAAAACCGATTGGTACCTATTTTTGTAAAACCGAAAAAACCGAACCGATCCATTCCCATCCCGAATCCGAACCGTTTCCCGAAACGACCACCCCGTACTTATAGTGGGGTAACGATAATTGGACTCTATGAATTAAAACGGATGGACATTTGGATCTAATAATGTAAAATCATATTTAAATTTAAAAGCGAAGTAATGCAATTTCTTAAATCTAAAATTAATACAAAAACAAAAATTGAAAATATGTTACACGCACACACAAGAGACTAAATAAAACTTAAACTGAGACATAAAAATCAAATACATGCAATTTCAATAAAACTAAAAAGACTGAATCCAAAACAATTGAATCTAAAATATTCAGAATGAAACAAAGATTATTATTCATGTTGTAGATGTCACAGAAGAGAATACAAAGAGAGGCAGTGCATAGGAATAAAAATAGATGATATTTTTACATTTTTTATTGGTTTGCCCACAATTTCCTAATGGAAAAAAGAGAGAGAGACAAATTAGGTTTTAGAAACGGAGAGAAAGAAGAAGACGACCGTACATACAAAGCTCGATTACGGTGTAAACCCAAAGAACCCTAAAATTCATACCAAACAAAAATAAGAAATTGATATACAGAAAGAAACAAAAGGATTTTCAACCATGGCAAAAGGGTTTAGGGTCATATGGCTAATTTAGCTAAGAGAGCCAAATCAAGAATCTTGACGTCAAGGCTGTCATCTAACCTAACGATACCGTCGGACCCATCAACCCCTATTAGTTTACCAGTCGACCCTCTATACGATCCTCCTACTATCTTCACTCTGTCGTTCTTCCTCGGCGGCACTATCTCCATTTCGTTCGGGAGGGCCAACACGGCCTCCCCTTCCCCGCCTGACCCCATCGCCACTTTACACGACCCGTCCTGTATAAACAAATGGGCATAATATATCCGAGTAAGAAACACTCTTCC